AGTGGGTGAGGGTGGGGGTTAGGGGGTCACTTGCTCCCTCAGGAAAACGTAGTTACAATACATGGTCAATGGCGGTCACCTTCCCAGAACACATTACGCATCTTTGCCTTCAGGCAGGATGGATGAGCTACGCTCCTGACCCCATGATGATACATATATAGGTACGTATTCTTAATTAGTAACTCGTTGAGTGACATAATGATGTTGACGTGTAATGTTTTTAGCGTTGTAATGATATGGTATTAGCCAATACCTTGTTTACTGAAACCATAACAGCGATAAAAAACGAACAAAAATATTGCGAAAACCACTTGATCAAAATTACCTCTGCGCACTGACGTACATTAGATCTTTGCGATGTTGACATCATTGAAAGCTTACTTAAATATTATAAATCGAATCGCGTAGACTTACATCCAACTAAGAATATAAACGAATCATGAGCCAATTCTATACAAAATATAATAATATAATACCCAAGTCGTATACAAAAACAATTTATTTATGCTTGATATACAGTCATACAATACAAAAATACTAAACATAATTATTTTTCATTTTAGCTATTCAGACTGCTGTACTGGTACAGTAAATTCGGTACGTATGATTGCAATATACACGCTCCGTATTTCGTTCGAGATATAAATATATATGTGATGCATTCGTGTACCGAACGAAGTAAAGAAGTCTAGTCGCTGCTTGAATTTATCTGCCGGCAATTTTTTCTCCGACATTGACCTTTCCAAATGCGTTCGCGACCTTTCCGCTGTGCATACAGAAAAAATACGCGCGGGTTTCTCAAGTTATATGGCGTCAACGTCTGCTTAGTTTACGATGTATGGGTGAGGTTGGGGTGTGTGTGTGTGTGGAGAGTCGGGGAGCCAGCTTACAGTTGCTGCTTAAACCAACTGCAATGATGACTTCTGTCGGTTTAGACGCTCCCGCTGTGCGTCTGCCACGTCACGTGACCACTCCACCTGGTCGTCACGTGTTCGTATCACAGGATCGTCGCGTAACAGCATAGTCTAGCGCGCGAGAACTGCACGTTTTTGATGGAGAGATATCGCTTTACCTGCAGCGCAATACCTTATAAGGAGCGTCACCTTCCATCAACGCGACCGCCGCAAGAATATAATAGCAATCTACGGATGACGTCACTCCCGGTATGCGACGCATGCGCAGTCGTAAGAGCGACAAGCGCTCACCACTGATCACTATAATATAATCGAGATTATATTATAGTGATCAGTGGCGCTCACAGGGGAGATATTGAATACTCTGTGCAGTCGATCGGCGACATCGGGGTATTTAAACAGAGGAGATCATAGTCGATACGTCTGCCATCTGGTGATTGCAATTATTTCGGGGTAACATTCCGTCATCTGGGAAATATTATCTCGGAATATCACGCTTGCGGTTCTGTTGCAAATTGCTGCTCGGTATATGATACTGACTGCGCTCCTCCCTGGTTTCTTTCACAGTCTAAAGGATGCTTGTCACAGATTGCATCACTTCTAAACCAGATGAAGACACTAACCTTTGACCCCGATGCAATTTCCGCTAAGCAGATCGCGCTTCTACAGAAAGTATTTCTATTAGATTTTCTTTCCATTTCCTCCATGGATACAACAAGCAATCCGTCTATAGGCAAAGTTTGCCGCAACATGGCAGCTTTCCTACCCGTATATTTCTCTTTTAAAGCGATTATTGCGAGAATTTTCCAGTGTTTTCCCCACTTTCATGATACCTACCGTTATTGCTTGAGTAACAGCAATTGTCTAGAGTAACAATAAAATGGTTAGAATCTTCGAACTTATCGAACTTGTTCGAACTAGAAAACTGCCAGTTTCGAACTTATCGTTTTTGTAAACATTCGTTTTCTGTCATCTTGAACTAACAGAAAGTATGCATTAGCTTGTGGCGCCGCCGCTTATCTGCCATACCCACAGTAAAGGCACGCACTTGTTTTCAATTCATCACCGACACAAATAGAAGTTTACCAATTCTGCCATTAGGCACTGTCGCGACACGATAAAATGCATTGCTGTTACGATGTGTTCATATCCAATTTTCTATGCTATAACGCCATAAAATCTTAGTATTTATAATGTTGGTGTAATCAGTGATATTTTCGCTGTCAGGTGAGACTATATTCAGCTCTATTTAGTTTTTCTGAGCAAAAATCTCGCAATAATCAGTTTGACTGGTCACCATGTCATATGCATGCACGTACGAACATACGCTCACACGCACGCACGCACGTACGCACACGCGCACGCTCGTACGTACGCACGCACGTACGCACACGCGTACGCTCGTACGCACGCACGCACTGTTATCGTGGCCGCACACTCCACGTTATAAATGGCGCATATAGCATCAAGATAGCATGCGGAGCGCTGACCGCTGTAGACCTTCCATTCATCCCTCGTCGAGAAATAGTAAACGCTATTTCCTATGGCGCTGGAATCGAACACACGCCCTCCCGCACAAACTACCGACACATACACGCACGCATGCATGAACGCGCGCGCACACACACACACACACACACACACACACACGCGCGCACACACACGCACGCACCCAGAATAGCTCACTGATTTGTTTCTCAACAACAGACGCGTGTCAGAACGACTATTAAAAAAAACTCTAAAGAACCTCGTTGTGCGATCACTGCTCACTGCGCATCGGCTGCCTATTTATAACACGACAGTCTTCACACACACACACACACACGTGCACCTCCCCCATGTTACACACGCCACACGTCACGTCCGGCAACACACGTCACATCCGGCAGTATACGTCACGTCCGGCAACGGACATCACGTCCGGCAGCTCACGTCACGTCCGTAAGCACACGTCGCGTTCGGCAGCACTACGTCACGTCCGTCAGCAGGCGCCATCTGGCGGCGCCGACCGTTTACCGAACAGCGGCACGACGACACATCCGGCGACGAGAAAGAACGCCGCAAAGCCGGCCATGATGCTCATCGGAATGTAGATGGGATAGATGGCGCTGTCGTCGACCGGAAGCGCCATGTACGCGAGAGCCTGAGCGCCGCTAGCGACCGGCGCGCCCGTCTGCGTGCAGATTGTCTGTTCGGCGAATATCTGTATAGGTGGCGCCACGGGGTCGGTGATGATCGTTGGGCCCTGGACGATGGTACAGATGTTGCGGTTGAAGTTGATGGCAGAGAATTCGTTCTGGGCGACGAGGCGGTACGCCCACTGCGTCGATGACGAGTTGGAAGACCACTGGAACATCTGCAAGGTAAAGGGGTAAAGGTTAAAAGGTAACAGGTAGAGGGAGAGATAACAGAGATGTCTACATCGGTAGATAATGACTCATCTCCCTCTTTTCTGCCTGTCTCTCCTCGCTCTCTCTTTCACTGTCTCTCTCTCTCTCTCTCTCTCTCTCTCGCTCTCTCTCTCTCTCTCTCTCTCTCTCTCTCTCTCTCTCTCTTTCTTTCTCTCGCTCTCTCTCTCTCTCTTTCTTTCTCTCGCTCTCTCTCTC